CCAAAACCCCAAAACCCCAAAACCCCTTATCTTAAACAGCAGAATATCAGAAAATAATGAAATAATTAAAATATTGAAATCATTAATAATTCTTATGAGTGTAATTAACAAGAAAGAGTTCTTTCTACTGTGGACTAAACAGACCATAAAAAATTTCAAATCTAAATTTTAGGCTGTAAATGATACAGAGATTGCTAGAGAGCTAATGTGAGAGAATCCTCATTATAAGCTTTATGAGAGATTCATTCAAGCATTTCAAAATTGCAAAGTAAACTCTTCACTTGTCACTGATCCTATTTTCATGATTGAGTTCCTCATCATTCATAATAATAAAGAATTTTACAGCATTGATTCTCTTGAAAATTCCAAAGGATAACTAAATTCTCATCCAATTTAGTTCAATAAAATTTAGGCAGAGAAGGACCAAGTGGATTTAGATGCTATTCAAAATTCCCCATCTAGTAGAAGATAAGATGCTATATTTGACTAAAAATAATAACAAAGAGAAAATTTTGACCATTTACTCTAGCTGATAAAGTCCTTCTTCAAGAAAAGAATGCTTGATGGAAAAAATCTCTTTAAAATTCTTTCAAAGTATACTGAACAAGATGACATTAGGTGGAAGATCTACGAACTGGTATTTGCAGTGTGCTTCTTTTGTAAAGATATCTAAACTGACCTGGATTTCTATTGGGTTAAAGATCGTCATGCTAACATATTTAACAATTCAATCAGCTAGTTATATTCTGAATGCAACCCGATGCTTACAAAATGTATATTCTAAGTTCTTGGAGAGATTTTGAAATAATTTACAATAGTAGACTATGATGGATGCTAAGCTTTTATCTGTCAAGATGAAATATTCATGAGGAAAGCGCACAAGATCAACCTGAATGAAAGCTCATTTATTGATAACTAACTGTCTAATTAATGGCAAATGAATAACAACTATAAAAATAAGAATGAAATATCTTTAGCAAGATAGCCATCTCATCTTAATGAATTAATGCTTGGGTAAAGTATCTTAGGAATGAACTAATGTGATGAAACCAATCGAGGCTAGATAACCCAGCCATCCATGAATTGGAGAGAACTCTCGATTGACAATACTTTTAATTTGACTCCAAAGATTAGTCCTAGAGATGCAGATTTTGCTGATGATAAATAAAAATAAGGAGGATCTCAAAATTTGCTGAAAGGAGGTAGATTTAACTTAAATACAATCTAATCTGCTAGAGATGAAGAAGAAAATAACACTAACTTATTAAAAATAGAAGAACTAGAAAATCAACTGTTTACTATTTAATCGGAAAATTTGGCTCTTAAAAAATCATTAGATTATATGGAAAATGAATTGGCGAATTCTAAGGAGAAGGAAGACGAGTAATACAACAAGATATTTGACTTGGAGCAGGCTTTTAGTACTATAGATTTTGAATTAAAAGATTTTAAATTTAAGTTCCAAAGTAGCGAGCAAAGAAGACTCTAATTAGAGAAAGTATCTTAAAATTATGAGATGTTAGAAGAAATGCTAGAGTCGTAAAAATTTGAAAACTAAAAGATGAACTAGCAGTTAGACTCTTAATCGAATTAAATAGAATTCCAAAAGAACTAAATAGAGGACCTAGAAATCTTACTAGATAAAAAAGAGAGAGAACTGGATAAAATAAACTTAAAATAAAAATTATAAGTTAGAGCTTAAGTAAAAGAATAAGCTCACATTAATAATTAATCTGACATTTGTCCTCTAAATACTCAAAATTAAAAATAGTTGGCTTAAACTTTTCTTCTAGAAAATCACAATACAACATTACACAATGACTTAATAAACATTTACAAATCCTAGTAAAATTAAATTAACACTACAGTAATTAAGCCAAGTATCAAGAACGCTTCATGCTAGGTGAATACAGTAAAATAAGATTCAAAAACTAAAGAGGAGTAAGAGATGCTTAAAACAATCATAGAAAAGTAAAATCTAAAAATATGATCAATGATTTCAGAAATCGAAAATCTAAAGAAATAAATTGAAAGAAATGAGACAAAAATTTAAAAGAAAAATGCTAAAATTTAGTTTTAGGATAATAAGAACTTGAAGCTTGATGACACTGTCATTGTCAATGAAATGAAATTAAAGCATTAAGAAAAGATGAACTAGGATTAAGAAGATTAAATATCGGAATTAAAGCATAAACTTGAAAAATTGTTGAAAAAGTATTCACTGTAAAAAGATGAGCTATCATAGCTTGAATAAAACTTTTTATCCAAAAGGTCTGGATAAAAACATCTTAACCCTTAATTTATTTTGACTGTTGTATTCTCCCTCCTATTCAGTATTTTGTTCAATAAGATACTGCAGTGAGCAAATGCAAAATCTAGGAGCAATTTGATTTGAGTTATATGTGTAAATAATGGCTCTAATTGATTGTGATTATTTGCATAATGCTTTTGTATACTTTTTAGAGAGAATACATTATGTTGTAGGTTGAGACAAAGTCTTTTTTAAAACCAAGATTTTGACTCCTTGCTTATTTTGTAGACTCTCTATTTCTAATTATATTTCCTTATTTTAAAATCATTAAATAAGTTTAACATCAATTAAATGCAAATTTTAAACTCTGGGGTTTTGGGGTTTTGGGGTTTTGGGG